TCTCTCTGGTCAAATTAAAATAAATAAAGTTAAATAAAAGTTTCTTTTACATTTTTACTTATTATTATCACTATTATTTTTAATTTGCTATAGGGTACATGTGTTCACCAGAGAGGGCAGAGAGAGAGAAGGCCGCCACGTCCAGGACTCGAACTGTGGTTGATCATGTGGAAGTTCAGCACCTTAACCACTGCACTACTTACTGGTCCTGAGAGAGCTTATTTTACTCAGAAAGAAAACGGGGGAGAAAAACTCATGGAAATGTACTCATGTCCAATTACCAGGAAGGGCAAGAAAGTTCACTTAATTTCTCTGTTTCCCCTTCTAAGGCCCCTTTCTTCTGTATTCTACATGGCTTCAAATTCTAGTTTTAGTCTGGCTTTTTGAAAATAAAAATTCCGTTCTCACGAAACAGTAGTAGATTAATAATTTGATAGGTATCTCTGCTCAGTTGTTAGTACCTGGCTGTCTTATACATTGGAAAAGGTAGCTGGGTCTCTGGGCAGGAAGCTCCCCACGTTTTCTGATGCTTGCTGAGATGTAAGATGACCAAGGTTACCCTCTTCTGCTTGCATTCCTACAGCAGGTGACTTCTCCACCTGTAACCCCTCAAGCTTGATGTTTGAAAAGGGTAAATCCAAGCTTTTCTCAGAGGCACCAATTATGTAGATAGAAATGACCACTTACAATTTTTTGTAATTCAGGGGTCAGCAGGTGGCATAGCAGTTAAAGCTGGGTTTCCACATGGTGGACTGAGGTTTGAATCCCAGAACTGATGGCTTGAAACTCACGTTGGGTGTGTGTGTGTGTGCCCAAAAATCCCAAAAGGAGAATGGGGGTGGGGGGTTTGTGGCCCGGTCATCCCCCCTTGGGGGTGATTTCTTGCTTTCTCTCTCTCTATCCCTTTCTATCTCTCTGGTGAGTGCACGTGTCCTATAGCAAAAATCTCTCAAAAAATTTGTAATTCAAAAAATTTTTTGAAATAATTTTGGATTTACAAAACTATGCAAACATAGTACAAATATAACTTTCAACCTATTTATTCAAATGGCAATAGTTTGTATTAACCACAGTATAATGATTAAACCTGGAAAATGAACATTGCTGTTCTTTCATAATCGATCTAAAGGTATCATCTGAATTTGTCCGTTGTCCGACTGCTTTTTACAATCTCCAAACTGGCTTTGCAGTAAGGTAGAGTTGATAACATGCAGATTTTGATTTCAAACTTTTTTTCTAAAATGTACTTACCATTTGAATTATTTACAGTCTTAGAGAGAACATCAACGCAGCTAAAACCCTGAAGTTATCATATTAACCAGTCTCTAAAATTATCCAGTTTTAGCACTTGAATGAGGAATTTTTTTCCTTTTACCTCTGAAAAGATGAATTAGTGAGTACTGTAGACTGAATGTGTCTACCCCTTCCTTCCAAATTCAAATGTTGGAGTTTTAGTCCCTACTGTGATAGTATTAGGAGGTGAGACCTTTGAGTGGGTATTAGACCATAGGGTGGAGTCCACATGAATGGGATTAATGCCCTTATAAGAATTCTATGAGCATCTAACAAGGGATTAATAACTGATATATACAAGGAACCCAAACAACTCAGCAAGGAAAAAAAGGATCAAAAAATAGGAAAATAGTCTAAATAAATAGTTCTCAAAAGAAGACATACAGTGGCCCAACAAACATGAAAAAATACTCAACATCACTAATCATTAGGGAGATACAAATCTAAACCACAGTGAGAGATCATCTCACTCCAGTTAGAATGGCTATTACCAAAAAGACAAAAATTTACAAATGCTGGTGAGGATGCAGAAAATGGGGCATCTGCTTCATTGTTGGTAGGAATGTAAATTAAGAATGATGGAAAAACAGTATGGAGATTCCTCAAGAAAATAAAAATAGAACTGCTGTGTGATTCAGCAATGTCACTATTAGTCATATATTTGAAGGGAAGGCAATCAGTATGTGGTAAATATATCTGTCCCTTGGGTGGGCAGGTGGCTTGGTGACTAAAATGCTGGGCTCTCACACGGCCAACCATGGTTCGAGTCCCGGATTTGGTGGTTTGCTTTCTCACTTTCTCTGGCTCTCTATCTGGATCTGGCAAGCAAACGTGCCCTCTGGCAATTAAAAAAATAGTTACAAAATAAAGTTACCAAAATATAGGGTATGTTACACCTGCAATAAAAGGGTACAATGTAGTTGTCATATATATGCTTGCACACGCATTAGGAAAAGCCTGGAAGGGTGGATATTAACAACATAACCTCGGAGGAATGGGCAGGCTTACATTTTTTACTTTACATGTTTCTCTTTAGATTTTTTTTGTAACCGCACTTTAGAAATTATATCTTTATTTTTTTTTTAAGAGAGATTTTTGCTATAGGTCAGGTGTGCTCACCAGAGAGACAGAAAGAAAGAAATCACCTCCCACTGGGAGGATGACCACACATCAGTCCCTTCTCCTTCATTCTCCTCTGGGAATTTTGGGCAAACACGCACATGTGCCCCACATGAGTTTTACACCGCTGGGTCCAGGACTTGAATTGCAGTACACTACGTGGGAGTCCCATGATGTAGACATTACGCCATGTGCTGGTCCCAGAAATAGTACATTTAAAAAAAATTATTTTACTTATTTTTTTTATGAGAGACAGAGACAGAGAAAAACGGGTACCTTTTATAAGATCTTGTGACACCATAATCCATTCCCCCAAAGCCTCCCGGCTAGCCCAAACTGCAGGGGCACCTGCCATATGCCCCG